CCGAACAAAATAGGGGATGACGTAAATTAATAATGTTTCGTCTCTCAGTCCTTAATTGCATTTGCTTGTCAATTAACTGACAACCCTGACAGGGAGCCAATCACGACACAGAATATTGCGGCTCACGGTTGCTTGAAGCTTACAACTTACATTTGTATATATACACTAAGAGTATTGGTGTTCGAGAAGTATTTAAAAATAGGGGAAAATGACAAAATCTTCCAGCGAATGTATTTAATGGCTGGGTAGACCGACAGTCTGAATGTTTTTCTTTTTTTAAATGTACCTGATTAGATGAAACGGAATATAAAGGTGGTGGTAGGATAACCTCAAATTATTTCTAAGGGAATTCCCTGTGAAGAATTACGCACAGCTGGAAACAGTCTCGTAAACGCAGAGATTCCAAACGCTCACCAAACCTGGTTTACCAGAACCGTCTTAATCTATGGTATGTATTTCGAATACATAATCTTTGAAATCTACGTTTAAGTCGCTTAGTTAACTTAAAGCTTCCTTCTTTACGTGAACGAAACAGAAACTTTACAGTGGTCAACGGTGTTCGAATCCCGCAGGCAGGTACCAATTTTTGTAATGATATACGTACTCAACAAATGTGCACGATTGACTTTCACGGTGAGACAAGCATGTAATAAAAATCAAACCCTGCGTAATTACTGGTGGTAGGACGTCTTCTTAGTCCGCACGGGTAGGTACCACCACCACCTTGCCTATTTCTACCATAAATCAGTAAGGCGTTTCGACTTGAAAGGCGGGGCAGCCATTGTATTGTATAAAACTGAGATCTTAGAACTCATATCCCAAGGTGGGTGGCGGCATTTACGGTTTAGATGTCTGTGGGCTCCGGTAGCCACTTAATTACCCATCCACCCATCTAAGCAATAAAAAAAATGAATGCAACCGTAGCAGAACTAAAGTCGAACATTCGAGATGATGGCGCATTGATGAAAGGGTTCTCGGTTGCATGGTTCGAAAAGGGCATTGTAGGATCGTACTTACTAAATGGGCGAATCACATCACCTCGTCTTATTTTAAGTAAAACATAAAAAAAGTCAAACTTCTACGACTTCCTTCTGACAAGGAGAAAGAAATAAAAAAAGATACACAGCCTGGTTTTTCCACAGCCTCTTTTTTGTATTTATTTTTTTGCATCTTAATGTTTGAAGAGCTCAGTGAAAAGTGGCTACTACTAAAACCCATAGAATTGAACGTCGTGGTTCGTAGACCATCCTTAATTATCATGAAGTTGGAAAAAAATCGAAGCCAAGAATGGAACGATTGTTCCTCAAGCCAGAATCGTTTTCCAAAGAAGTAGGCACGGTGATGATGCCTATCAGAAACCAATCGGAAGATGCTCTTATTTTAAGACCAGTATATTTTAAAATAATTATGTATAATTGATAAATAAACGCCTTATTTGAAGGCGTGAATTATATACCATAAACAAAAAATAAAATCAAATCGAAAATAAGACGGAAAAACGATTAAAATGTTTAATAATAATAGTTTGAAAAATCGTATGCCGCATTGCGATCTTCCAAATCGATTTAGTTTACACATACGAAAGCAAGCGTCATAGCTCGTAAGTTTAGGTATACTCCTGGAAGTAAGATTTACGTCGGGCCCATATCGATTCCCTGACAGCCTCTCGGGGCTGTATAATGAATCGATTAGAATGCATTTGCCTTGAAACCTTAGGGACGTTTAGGTGAGCTTCCTTTACGTAACAGAGATTTATGTTTTGACATTTATTTATCTGTCAAATTTATTTTTGATTGTCGAACAGTTTTATTAAATGAAAACTTTTTGTTAGGTACTGTATTTGGCGCGCTTTTTAACTAATTTAGAAATGACATTTTGTAGAATTGAGTTTTGATTTTTTTAAGCATTAAAAGCATTAAAGCACAAAAAAATTGCAAACCGGTTCAGAGGCGATCGCCTAATAATACAGGGTGGCCCATAAGTCCTTTGAAAAGTAAAATTTGAATAAAACGAACAGGGCGCGCGTGAGCGGTGCAGGGGAAGCGGGGGGAGTAACTTCGGTTTCTGGGAATTTAGTCGCGATGGAGCGTTTTACCGGAGCGGACCGTGCGTTTTGTGTGCGCGAGTTTTATAAAAACGACAATTCGGCAACCGTTGCGCGGCGTAAATTTCGAGAACACAAAGGTTTACACAACTTTGACGACACTCCAACTCTTCAAACGATTAAGAACTGGGTTGCTAAGTTCGAGGAGACCGGTTCGACGTTAGATAAACCGCGGTTGGGTCGCCCAAGGACGTCACGTACGGAACAAAACATAGACACAGTGACACAGTCTATTCGCGAAAATCCGACACAGTCAACTCGTAAGCGCGCCAGAGCATTAAACGTATCCAGGACATCGTTACAACGGATTTTGAAGAAAGATTTACATATGCACCCTTACAAAATTCAGTTGGTTCAAGAATTAAAGGAAACTGACGGTATTCAAAGACAAAATTATGCGAATGAAATGTTGAATCGGTTTACTTCCTTCAATAACATAATGTTCTCTGACGAGGCTCATTTCCATCTTAACGGGCATGTTAGTAAACAAAATTGCCGCTATTGGAGCCCCATCAATCCAAAACTTAAGCATCAGAAGCCCTTACATAGTCCGAAAGTGACTGTTTGGGCCGCTATGTCAGCCCATGGTATCCTAGGGCCTTACTTCTTTGAGGATGGCAGAGGGCGCGCAGTTACTGTTACGTCGGAGCGATATGTGGCTATGATCGAAGAGTTTTTCATACCAGAATTGCAAAACTTTTCAGGCTTTAATGCCAGGACGTGGTTTCAACAGGATGGGGCCACTTCTCACACCTCTAACACTGCTATGCCCGTTATCCGTCAACTTTTTCCTGGCAAAGTTATCTCTAAGAGAGGAGACATTTCCTGGCCTCCACGTAGTCCAGATCTGACCCCGATGGATTTTTTTTTGTGGGGCTACCTTAAGGCTAAAGTATACGACACAAACCCGCGGTCAATTGAGGCCCTAAAAGAAAACATCCGCAGAGAAATGACAAGCATTTCAGCAGTGACGTGCCGCGCAGTCATCGACAATTTTAGACGTCGTTTGCAAGAGTGCCGTGATCGCAACGGATTACATTTAGGAGATGTTATTTTCAAAAAATAATTCCCGTTTTTTAAGCTTTTTATGTAAATAAAAATTTAATTCATAATGTAATTAGTTTTATTTTAATAATTTTTTTTCATATCAAAGGACTTATGGGCCACCCTGTAGCTATGACACCCTGCTTCACTTCACATGTTTTAATTATGGATGTGCATACGTGCTCTTGATCCCGCTACTGACGAACGGATATCAGAGCTCATAAGCCTCATGACATGCCGATATCTACTTGGAGACGAAAATTCCTGTTATTTCCTACGTTTCTTTTCAATTGCTATGACATTTGACTATCGCTGTGATTCCTGGTGACCGTTTTCCACAATGAGGGAGTCACGCCCATCCGCTAAATAAGGCTTATAAAAGTAGTATTTTAAAATGTTCATGCTCCCGTTATGGCGGTCGGTCAGGTATTCACTTTACATCTAGTGGGCCATGTAATAGAGCTTTTTTTTTTTTTATTGCTTAGATGGGTGGACGAGCTCACAGCCCACCTGGTGTTAAGTGGTTACTGGAGCCCATAGACATCCACAACGTAAATGCGCCACCCACCTTCAGATATAAGTTCTAAGGTCTCAAGTATAGTTACAACGGCTGCCGCACCCTTCAAATCGAAACGCATTATTACTTCACGGCAGAAATAGGCAGGGTGGTGGTACCCACCCGCGCGGACTCACAAGAGGTCCTACCACCAGTGTAGGGTGTAATGCAGCATCAAAAAAAATTATTTACATTTCACTGACACGAGGCAAAGGCCTCAAGCCGCAAGGCGCCATTGGATCGCTGCAGAAATGAATGATGTTACCAAATTTCACATACTATATTTATGTTTTTTTTTATTGCTAAGATGACCGGCAAACGTAGTCACGGCCCGCGGGAGTCGGCAAGGATGACCTCGGAAAACGCACTGTGGATGAACGCAGTGGTTCTAGACAATGTGGTTGAATTATAATCTAATATATAAAATTCTCGTGTCACAATGTTCGTTCCCATACTCCTCCGAAACCGCTTGACCGATTCTCATGAATTTTTTTATGCATATTCAGTAAGCCTGAGAATCGGCTACTATCTATTTTTCATACCCCTAAGTGATTAGGGTTGTCCACCCCTAACATTTTTTTTTTATTTGGACTTTTTTTTGTTATAATGAGGTATTATATGGTTGAATGAGGTTTTGTTATTTTTATTAAATATTCCCTCATCGTTCACAGCACTACATACCTCTTTCACTCATTTACCACATCCTTACACACTTACAATAAGTTAGTTTTTTTTTTTTGTACACTAGAAATTCCCTAGAAATCTTATATATGGCAAAACAACGTTTGCCGGGTCAGCTAGTAACATATAGAAACTCCGGTAGCGAGCACCACGATACTAAAAACGAGATGCACAAATCGTTTCAGACAATTCCCAAAATTATTTTGTTTATTATTTGTTCTTATAGAAAAAAAAAAGTATGGACATACAAATATACATTTTTCAATTAAATGAGGAACAACTATATCATTTACTTTGATAACCTATAGCTTGAGTTACAGTCGAAAACGAAAAAAGTATTTAATTCAAAGATTATAATCTAACAAAAAATTCAACATTATGTAATACAATATATTTATATTATTTACTATTTGAATTATGCGAGTTTTTCCAAAAAAAATAAGTGTGTTAAATTATTATTATTTTTAAAACAAATATTTAGAAAAAAGTATTTACTCACATTAAAAATGACAGTTCCAATTTTTTTTTTTTAAAACAACANTTTTCCAAAAAAAATAAGTGTGTTAAATTATTATTATTTTTAAAACAAATATTTAGAAAAAAGTATTTACTCACATTAAAAATGACAGTTCCAATTTTTTTTTTTAAAACAACAGTCTAGAGAGTCACTACAACATCATTGCACTATTCAAATTTCGAACGAGACACATTCTTCGAATTCGCTATGTCCGCCAAGGAAACACGTCTACGCGCCTTCGCGGCCTTACTTGAACTAAAGCACAGATTAAACTCACTAGTTACTGAAGTATGAAATGATATTTCCAGCTTCGAACGACACTGTTCTACCTAGAAAAATATTTTCAAACAAATAATTAGACTATTGGATTTAGAAGAATGATTAAACAAACACAGTGAATCATGTATAATAAAAATATAGTTTGGCTGTAAACACTTCACGTGAACTGGTGGACCGATGTGACAATTTCGTAATTGAAGTCCGTAATATTCCACGTAAAGTTTTTAGGTTATGAAAAAAAAAAAGAAAAACTTTCCCGGAAACGGAACGATTCAGAGATCGATCATAAAATTAAATTACTTAAATTTCGATTGGACAACGTCCGTAGGGTGATTTAGTTTGTAACAATTCATTCACTTTAGGCAGCAGGCTGGCTTTGCCTCTGGCATTGTTGACGTTAACGGGCTACAGTAACCACTCACCGTCAGGTGGGCCGTACACTGGTCTGCCTACGAAGGCAAAAAAAAACCATTATAGATATTTGTTGGTAGCGTTTGCTCTGAACCGATGATTGAACTTTTCTTGATTCGTTTGTTAAAATTAATTCATTAATTAAAAAGTAACAAAAGCACCAACTAGGAAACATACCTATTTTTAAATATAGAATAGAATAATATGAATCCCATTTTTTTATTATATTTATTTTTTTATTGTATAGATGGGTGGACGAGCTCACAGCCCACCTGGTGCTAAGTGGTTATTGGAGCCCATAGACATCTACAACGTAAATGCGCCACCCATCCTGAGATACAAGTTCTAAGGTCTCAAGTATAGTTACAACGGCTGCCCCACCCTTCAAACCGAAGCTCATTACTGCTTCACGGCAGAAATAGGCAGGGTGGTGGTACCCATCCGCGCGGTCTCACAAGAGATCCTACCACCAGTGCTTCTAGATCAACAGCAATACGCAACACGTAAGTAATAGGCGGAAGGCCAAATTATGTTTCCTTTATTTTTATATGGGCTACCAACATTACAACACAGACAAACACGTAAACATAACAAGTAGCGCTTAGATTAATCTCACACTAAATGTTTTCTCAGTTGCAGGTCGGTGCATGCGGTTGCGAAAGAAGCGGTTGGTGTTTTGAGTATATAAAAATTGTAACATTATTACGCATTACTACCGTTGTCAGCTACTAAAGAGCTAGACTGATTTAAGACAAAAAATCATGAAATACACACATACACCTTTGCAGTATTTTTTTGGATTACGCGAGCTTTATACATACTGGTGGTAGGACCTCTTGTGAGTCCGCACGGGTAGGTACTACCACCCCGCCTATTTCTGCCGTGAAGCAGTTTCGGTTTGAAGGGCAAGGCAATCGTTGTAACTATACTGAGACCTTAGAACTTATATCTCAAGGTGGGTGGCGCATTTACGTTGTAGATGTCTATGGGTTCCAGTAACCACTTAACACCAGGTGGGCTGTGAGCTCGTCCACCCATCTAAGCAATAAAAATAATAATCTAATATTACTTTATGGCTTAATCTCATTTATCTCTATTGCGGAGTAGTCATGCCTTCCTGCTTGAAGGATCTTTCGTTTCTTCTCTCGTCCACCCACAAAAGCAATAAAAATAAAAAGGTAATAAATAAATAAATAAAAATACACAGGATCACTAATCACAAAAACACGAGTTGTAAATGACAGGTGAGCCCTGCCTTTGTCTGCGACATTATTTAAATACTTTAAAAACAATAAATCATAATCTTGCCTATTCTATTCAGTTTCGAAGGCTATCCTACCGTAGCCCACGTGTTTTAGATTCAATTAAGACTATGTTCTCACAGTTAAGATGCAACTTCCACCACCGTAGGTGTAAATTTGCAATGCGAAATAATTTATGGGTCAAAATATATGATTAACGGTTTATAGTTCGGTATTTGCTGGATTAATTGGTGTCAATGTTGCCAATTTTCTTTACAGAGCATATCTGTATTTTGGAGTATAGAAAATTAGTTATTCCTCTAAAACTCTTGTATTAATCTTTATAAGGATTTTTTTATTGTCCTCGTAGGCAAACGAGCACACGACCCACCTGATGGTGAGTGGTTGCCATCGCCCATGGACTTCAGCAATGCCAGGGGCAGAGCGAACCTGCTGCCCACCGTTAAGTACTATGTCTATTATGTATATAATAATATGTATTTTTAAAGAAGGTCTGCAGAGGTTTTTTTATTGCTTTAGTAAATAGAGATGGGCCTTCAAACGACTTAATCTAGGGAGCTTTCAAGCATTATAACGTCGAAATTCGACATACGACAGTAATAGGCAACTCATTGGTTCATACATGGATGGACTCACAAAGCGCATAATATATTAGTTGGTATGGCATACACGATCAATTCGTTGGTATCCATGTTATATGTCGCATAAAATATTAGTAAAATTTAGCATAACTAGAACGAATACTGGGTGTCTGATCGGACAAAATATGATTCATAAATATGTAAAGTAAATGGAATGGTTTATGGTGCTTTTTTATTGTTTATAGGGATGAACTAAATCACGAATAACAGCAAATTGCGAATCCCACCGCCTTAAGACTTGCGATCTATGCCGCAATGGTATATATAGTTTAGCTATACGAAAATTATATTTTTTGCGGATTTGATTTGGTATTATTTCGTGAGCATGATTGAAAATTGGTAGCAGCGTGCGGTGTCTGAACATCGGCATAATCGCATCGCTGGAAATGCTTAGACCGAGCGTCTTATCCTTTAGACCACGACGACTTTAATTTTCCTAGTAATAATAAAATGACTAGGACGACTTGCCTTTGATCATGTCTTTCCTAAATTCACTCACATGACATCCATAAAAAATTACCTTTTAAAATTATCAAAATTTTAACCTCGGAAAATTATCAACATTTTAAAAAATACAGTTGGCCCCACAATTCTGCTCTCTAGAACGTAGTCGTCAGTCGTAGAATGAAGCCGGACGTGAGCCCATCAAACGCAAGACCAACATAAAGAATGTACCTAATATTAAACGGATACGTGGTCTTTCTAAGTGCACGATAGGGTGACTATATTATCCACTTTTTTTTTCTACCTATGCTGATAGCCTTGAGAGGTTATGTCAGCGTTACTCTAGCGTGTAGGTGAGCTCTCGGGGCTCAAACCGGAGGTATTGCTAACACTGGCCCTAGCAAGAGCAGTGCTTCGCAGAATCTGCCACGAAATCAGAAACGCGACCCACTGAGCAGATCCGTAGAGAAACTCAGTGGGAAATATCCGTACTTATGAGTTTAAATGATACGCAAAATAAATGAAATTTGATTCATTCAACGCGAAAGTATTTGATAGTATGCAATATTTCAAAACATTAAAACTTCTTCTTCCTATTCGTACACTCTTGACAGAGTGGTCGTGGTCATGCATCAGTCGGATCCTGCGATACCGATGCTCTCGCGATGCGACGCCATGTGGCACGATGTTTCGCAGAGTGAGAGCAAACATTTATATTGAAGTGAGTAACAAATTTTATGAGGTCGCTCCATCGTGTTGGAGATCGTCCGCGAGATCTTTTGCCCTCGACTTTCCCTTGCACCACCAACCGCTCAATGGAGTCCTCATTAAAACTATGAGATATAAAAACGAACAGTTAAAATTTTTGTTTGAGTCATACGATAAACAAGAAAGTTGTAGTGAGTTAGTTAGTTTAATCTTCAAATTTTTTTAACGATGCCCTTCTTAAAAGAGAGTTTTTCGCAATGATATCACCGGATTTTCTTTCTATTCAAATAGTGTACGTAATATTTTATTTTGTTAAAACTAAATTCGCACTAAGCGCACCTTTGACTCTAAAGTTAGGAAAACGTCCAATATATTTAGGACACAACATGGTCACCCCATATTTCAGTGGAACATGTCTTCTTTATTGACTTTCCTGATAGCAGTAGTAAAACTGGGCTCTTAGTTCAGACAGACGGCGCAACGGTCACCTTCAGCCCCTTACAAGTTATGAACATAATTGATTTTGCTCGTAATGTTTTACTTGCTTGGTAGTGCCAGCATTAAAACTACGAAATGCTCCTTAAAATGCTTATTTTTTATCCTATCTAATTACCAGTAGTTAGCTTTTCGTTTTGCCGGGTGGGTACGCGAGCTGACGGGACTCACTCTGAGAGACTGCGTCACCCCTAATAAGAGTAGCTTTTTGCTGAATCTACACGATCAGATCGGAATCGCGACCTACTGAGAAGATCCGGCGAGAAACTCCGTAGGTTATATCGGTGGGTCATTTTGCCGAATTATTCCGTGTAATTTTTTTATTGCCCTTGTAGGCAGACGAGCATATGGCCCACCTGTTGCTGAGTGGTTACCGTCGCCCATGGACTTCAGCAATACCAGGGGCAAGCCAAGCCGCTGCCTAGCGAAATGAAAATGAAATCGTATTATTTTTAACCGTGATATTGACAGTGTCAACAAATTAATAAATAGGAATCGCGTTTCGTGCATTATTGTTTCAGAAAAAGTTGTCTTAAATCAGCTCTCACTTGGACGTTTTTCTTCTTCTTGTCCGTCCTAATCCCATATTCTGTGGGGTAATTGCAGCATATCCTCTTATCTTGCTTCATAGGTATTTGGAATGAGCTTTACGACCAGCCGCCTGCCAGACCGCAACCCAACTTGGGTTATCTATCTTAGTGTGTCTCCAGCTTTACAACCAGCCGCCAGCCAGACCGCAACCCGACTTGGGTTATCTATCTTGGTGTGTCTCCATATGTCCATTGCAAGGTACCAAAGGACTTTTTTGTTTCTTTCTTTCTTTTGAAGTTTGTTTTGCTTCATATTTCAGCTCTCGCCTAGACCGAAAACATAAAATAGCAGATCAGTTTGAACATAGTTTTTTATTAGAACTAGGTTGGTGAACGTGACCTGATGTTTTATTTATTTATTAAGTTGCACCAACAAAGTGATCATCAATACAAAGCATTGACAAATTGA